AAAGAGGAATGTTCTTCAGCATATATACTTTGTCTATATCATGCTGGATAAGTTCTTCCCAAATTACTAATGTATGACTGAAATAATAAAAAAAATCCTGATTTTAATATCTGAAAATTGTAGGCATGGTACAGTGGGGCGATAACAAAATAAAAAGAGTTCTTTGCAAGCACTATTATGATTCTAAGAAGTATTTGCTCAGTTCAAAAGATGTCGAAGATTTTTTGGTTAGTGATTCTTAATATTCTTGGAGTGGTCGTTTTTTTTTAAATTTTTTTAGGAGGGTGGAGAAGAATAAAGGGAGGTCGTGGGTGTTTTTTGAGAATACATTGGTGGCATGGGACAGTAAATAATTGTAAAGTCGCAGTTAAACGCTTTAATTGATCGTTTTAAAACATTTTTTAGGATGAGAGGGAAAAACTTATTCTTCACTACAGTAAGTCTACAGATTCTGTGGTAAGAACTTCTATTTACCAGCTACTGAATGCTTAGATACCAAACGCCGTATATTAAAGCAGGAATTCGTCACTGGTTAGCTGAATTGGTTCTTCTTAAGTAATAGGTGTAAAATTTATTGCAGGAGAATACCTATGCCCTTATGAATGGATTTCTATACATGATCTTTGTTATAAATATGTTAGCGTTCATTCCTTCATAAAATAAAATTCGAAAAGTAGAAATATAGCAGCTACTCTTATTAAATTGCTGGTTTCCAAAATCATTTTTCCTGCCTATCTTTTTAGCGTTTACCGAAGGTTTCGCAGCTAACATTTTTAACCTACTTTTCCACGTTTTTAATTTAGTTTTCAATTCCAAAACCGTGGAATGATGCTGCGGAGCAGTGTCAAATGGAGCATGGCACACTAGCTGTATTACGTGATTACGAAACTTACCGTCATATTCTACGTACTAACTTTTTTCATTGTCAAACCTACTAATTGGCTTGCTGCTTAAGCAGCTCATTTATAAGTCCAAACTTTGGATCATGCATGAACTTCCTCAGCAGTGCTTCAACTTTTACTTCTTCTTTAGCTTCTCTAAAGTTAAGAACGAGGTGAAGTGGATTTTGATTATAAAGCTGCTATAAATAAACTCTCACACTTTCAATCAAACAATATCATACTTTCCGGAAGAAATTGAATGTTAAATGTCAAAAATTAGACCTTATTTTGGAAATAGTTGTGAAGTGCACATGAATTTTACTTTGCTGCTTTCTACAATCTTTTTAACCATTCTTTTACTGAGGAAGTGGAAAAGCGTGCTCAGAACTCTTGAGCTTCTACTCTGTACGATCAAAAAAGAAACTATGGAATTTTGAATGATTGGAAAAAAACGAAGTGTTGAAACTGGCTGTTGCTCACGCCGTGTACTTTTCGAAGTTTGCAGTCCCGAACTGAATTTACAGTCACGGGGTTTCCCCCGCAGACCTTGAAATATTGAGGAGTCCTCATGTACTAAACCGTATAGTGTCTATATATGTGCGCCCGTCACCACTATTTATTTACAATTACTGAGCTTTTAAATTTTACTCGTATCGTACATACATTTGAAAAAATCATGTCTTACAAATAATCTTCTTTTTCAAAACATGTTTTGGACTTTTGATAGTTTTTTTTACAGAGGAGATTAAGAAGAGTTATTTTTGGGTCGGAAAACGTCGGTGGAAACTTGAGTGGGAGTGGTATGATTTTGCTCCTGCAGGACCGATAAAGATTTTGGGAGAAATCGACGAAAACGACGATTGCGCGCATGCTAGAAATGAAGATGGTCTTGGCGCCACTGAATGTTTTAATGAACTTCCATTCCTGTGCCAGTTTGATCGTAAGTCGTGGAGCACTTAAAAACAATGTTTTCCACATTTTTGATTATCATATATGAGCTTTTGTGTGCCTACTAAATAAATGTTTCTGTAATTGTCTTGATTTAATTTAAGTGTCAAACTGTTGAGCAAGCTTATACCAGGTAATTTATTTGTAGTTTTTACAGCCAAGAAGTACTGCAGGGCAGGGTTCACAGAGTATGAAGGATTCTGTTACATGTTTGTAAGTCATTTTCGAAAATCTAAAATTTTTTGGCCCACTGAATGTCAACTAGAGATCATTATCATTAACTTTAGCTCTTATAACAAGTCTCTGCTTAAAAGTCACTGAGTTTCTTTTTATTCAGCAGCGAACGAAACAGCCGTTAAGAATTGCTGAGGAGGTCTGTGATGCAAGAGGCTCTCGAATAGTCTGGATTGATTCAGAAGAAGAACTTCAGTTTCTAGAGAGTAAGCGGTATGGCAAAATATTTTCTGCTGAGAGAAGGCTTGTCACAGTTAACATAAATCATTTTAATTAACTTGTTCTTTAGCAATTTAGAATATTTCGGAAGGCTCTTGCAGACTATTTGATTCTTCAGGGCCAGGCATATTGTCGCGTCTGATAGTTATTTTCTTTCTGTTAGGTAGAGCAGAAGAAATATAATCTATGTTGGTGAACAGGTGACATTAGACTTATATTGGGGAGGGAAGAGAGTGGGAGGTGACAAAACGATTTTATTCCGGAAAGAGCGTTTGCAAAGGGTTTTTATGGAAGAGAACGCTATCAATAAGATCCCTCAAATTAGTGAGGCAGTATTTAAACTGGATAACTATCCAGATCTAGGAAAATTTAAGCCAAATGTTGTAACATTAAGGGAAGAGGTGAGGGGTTATTAATTACATTCGTGAATAAATGCATTTATGCTGATTTTTGTATTTTTTTTTTGTGGCGAAAGACTTAAGCGGTGGAAATCAACCTTTTAGCTCTCGTGTGTGAAGAACTAAATGTAAAAAATTACTGCTGACAAGATATTCGTACCTCTGAGGAGCTGTTTGAGATGTTAAGACCAAATACAGTTGAGAGATCTGTTCATGATGAGGTTTAACAGCTACGTCGCTTATTCACCATTCTATTCGTAAGTTCTATAAAACTCTTTGTTGCGAAGGTTTGAAGTCTTAGAAGATTTATCTGACCTTCTTAATACTCCGTTTGAAAACACATTTTTTTCTTCTCAATCCATCAAAATCTTTTGTAAAACGAGATTTTCTGGTTTCAGGATTATCAAGTAAGAGGACATTTTGGATTGCATTAAGATACATTCATGGGTCATGGAGTTTTCCGGACCAGGAAAAACCAAAACTCTTGAAGTGGGCTACGAATGAGCCAGATGGTTGCTGCGCCTCTCAAGTAATGTCTCATGCAGCACATGAGCCTGGGAAAGGTTGGAGTGATCGGAATGAACAACAAGTGGAAAACTTTATTTGCAAGTACAAAAGTAATTTTCTCTAGCTTTACTCTTTGCTTAAGATTGTTTGAAGCAAAAACTATAGTATTTTCGTTTCAGAAGGATTTAGAGATTTGCCAAGTTCCGTTTTTGAAGGATCACCCGGTGGCTTTCAGTACGAGGGCAATCGGATTAAATTGAGAAGAGCTTCACCACGTTCGTCTCCAGGGGTACTGCCTTTTGATAAATAGTTTTATCGTCAGCGCTATTTTATTTTTGACGAGTAAAGAAATAACAGAGTCATCCACTTGTGAAGAATTTTAAATTTACAGTTTTTTAAAAAACCATTATTTTTTTACTCGTTTGTCTGATAATTTTCAACCTTTTTTTGCCCATTTCTAATCCTGGCTTTTCACTTCAAATCTTGATAAAAATGATGGATTTTAGTACTTTTTTTCTTTTTTTTTTTGCAAATCGTAGTTGTAACTTTTAAAAGGAAGAAGGCCTGTACCTAAATTTTTTATAGTTTTAAGAAAACAGTAAAGCTATGTTCAGGTTCTGTTAGGAGGTCTGGATTCGCGGGATAACGTAGTGAAAAGTCAGTTCAGCGATTTACTCTTATCCTGAAAGCCATATTTATTGCTTACCTTTCAAGCATTAGTTGGGAAAAAAAGGATGTAAACGTTTTTCTGCTATTCAGTGACATTTATAATGGGAATGTTGACATCAACATTAGTGATATGCAGCGTCGGGTCCGTTATTTTATACTACTCCACAAGAAGGGCAAAACTGGACTCTAATATACTGGCTTTATACGACATGGTGACGAAAAGTGATGCTGCAAGATACAATATGGCGTTGTATGACCAAACTTATTGTGAAGGTTATGCAAGACATTTACGAGAAGTAAATATACCGAAACAGCGTAGTGATCTGGAAGTGACGGAGTGGGTTGGGAAAGTGCAGGGGGCGCAATTCCAAGGGAAACAGGAGGCGCGAGGAAAAGAAGAAGCAATGGAAAAGACAGAAGAGAAACGCGAAGGGCCAAAAGGAAAAAGCAAATCTCAAGGAGTGCAGGAACTGCCAGCAATTGATCCAGTAGCTACAGAGGAAGTCTGTCACGAAGCCTACATAAAACAAGCGGTGCCTGCCGAGGAAAGCTTTGATGCTGGCTCTGTATGGAGAAAATGCCCGCTTTGACTTGAATTGTAGTCACTCCAGTGCACGTTCACTCCAGTGCACTAAAGTTCTCTTGTTTCTATATATTAATTGGGGTGTGATTCTAAGGAGTCTTAGCTTGTTGATTGTTATTAATTCCTGGGTTAAAGTAGAGCTTGTGGAATAATAGCTATTAGATACTTGTTACTGCATCCGTTTGATATTGGTCTAAATTGTTACCTGGGATACAGTGCTCATCTGCACAACGAATTTGACTAGGACACTATCAGTTTGTTCATTATTTGATACCAACTTACTAATCTTGAGTTACAAAGTTTATTGTTGCTCGAGTGTGCTAGGATATATTGATTTCTTTTTTTGTTTTTTATGAGATTTATATAATGCCTATTGAAGAAGAAGAAAGATATGTGACCGAAAACACACCTGCGTTATTTCGACATCGTCAAAATCTTAATTTTTATTCAAAATGCTGTTCAACTACGGTTGGACGTAATTTTGTTCGACAGTTTTAGAAGAATTGAAGACGTGGAGAATTTAGGCGTAGTCCAGTTTCAGTAGTAATTTAGGCTTAGGTTGGGCATCCAACATTTAACGGTACTAACTGCTTCCAGTAGCTGCAATAATACAATTCACCGATGACTGAGGGCTGGCTAATTTGTTTTTACATTGAGATGTTGGAAAAAATAGCGCACTGTTTGATGTTTATCTGCGAGGTACAACCGAACTGCATCTAAATTCTTTTGATTTGCTGCCGCACTAGCCGAAGTGGTGGGCTTCTTAAAGTGAGACAGCTGAAACTATAGTTTTTGTGAGGTGAAAGATTTTTTCCATAACTTCCACTTTTTTTCTGAAGTCTCAAGAGAAGTGTTACAGCTGGCAGTACATTGACTGGAAAGGTGATCCTTTTCAGATGACTTACGGAAATGATTATAATTTAACAATGCATACTGCTGAAAGCTTAGTTGTAGATTTAACCGATTTCTTCAGCATTAAAGTTTGCTGAGTAAGTCCGCTAAACACTGAAATCAATATTTGCAACAAAACTGAGTTTGCTTACCGGTTTTTTATAAATTAAAGCAAGTTTTTTTATTTATTTAATACGCCATTTGCATACCATGTGAGGTTTCTCAGATAGAAAATTGTCTACTGTGCTAGCCTTGGTTACGTCTACGCTACAAAATCACGAACATATTTTATTCTTTATAGAATAGGTAAAACATTAGTGTTTAAAGGACGGTAGGGTATTGCTTCTGAAAGTTTCATGAAGTTCTTATTAAATTCCCGCATGATTTGGAGTGATCAGGACAAAGTGTTGTAAGTAAAATGTGTTCAATTCAGTAAAGTTGTTTTATGTATGGGGAAACAAAACGACCTTAGAAAAATAGTCACAAACGTTTCAGAACAAATTAAGAAGTCGAGTTTTGATGGGTGGGGTACTTATGAGTATTTATTAAAATAAAAGTCATTTAGCAACACTGTATGAGAAACAAGGCTTTTGGAATAAATGTGTTATTGACCGTAAGTAAAAAATTGCTGTTAATGCCTCTCTTTACCGCTACTTAATATTTTATCGTCGCATTGTCCCATTCATTATTTTTTTTTATTCGTTGTAAGCGTAACAAAAGAAATTCATTGTAGTTGACTTTTTATTCATTCTTTCTTCATTTAGAATCTATACAATACTCTTGCTTTCTTTTAAGGTACTTCTTATAAACAACTGTATTGGACTCAAGAGTAAAACGCACCTAGTCTGGGTTCTACATTTTACTGGAAGTTTCATCTTCTGCTAAGGTCTGCAAATAAAATGACCTTAGCTTTAATTTTTTGTGAAATCTGGTTTATTGAAAAATTTTTTAGTGCTTAATTAGTTCACAAGTTTTTTATCAAGTGTTAACTCATTTAAATGACTGTGCTCTGGACGTTATTTTCTAGTTCAAAAGCCCTTGTTTTATTATTTTTACGGCACTGTTAGAAACCGCACATGAAAAGTGGAAAAAGATAGGCAAATTAAACTGGGTTTCAATTTTTTTTGTACGATACTCAGGAGTTCGTGAATTACATAATCCACTTCCAGTTCACTAGTTGAGTGCGAACATTTTGAAGTTTCTGAGGGCTTAGCTTTCAAAAAGTTGTAGAATGCATTGTGAAGCAATTGTTGGTCTTAACTTGGATGCCAATCACAAGTCAAATAGAAAATGTTGGAAAAATTCCTGATTTTGAATTTATTGTTTTATTTTACAAATTGGTTGGTGTTGAGGACATCGGTCTAGGGCGGCACTTTGCACGTACGCGGGGTGCTTTAGCACTGCTTAATAACTATCCGAGTAATGCGGTTGCACTGTTGTCGAAGCACTTTGATTGTGGCTGTTTTTTTCGTTCCGGACATCTTAGGAGGTGAATTCTTTTGGTGAACTAAGGCGCTGCGGTGTTGCAGAAGTGTAACAATTGAAAATCAATTTTTTTCACACTAAGGTAAGCAATTTAACGCTAGGACACGAAAGTCAACGGTAAATAATTCGTTGCAGATTCTGTTTGTCGAAAAGGCTATGAGTTTTTTGAAGGGAATTGCTACGGATATGTAGGTTTTACATTTTCAACCCAAACTTTTTAAGGAATTCGTCTTTATCTTTTTACTGGGCTTTCATAGAAGCCTTTCGATGGGTCAGTGGGACCTTTTACATGCATTAAAAGAAACGGTCAAACATGAGCAAAAAGTAAAAGTAAACTTACTGTATTTGAAAGTGAAATAGATTTTTGTGTGATAGTTGTAAGATGAGGGAGGACTGTAAAAAGCTGAATTTTACGCACATTCAAAACTAATACATGCTTTACAGCGAAAACCTAACAAATTCATCCTATTTTTGGAGAAATGTTTTCCGCACTATTTTAGTTTGCCGTTCTCTAAAAAAAATTTTGTTACTGTTCTACCAGATCGTCTCTGCTCTGTAACTGCTACGCCCAATTTACATTCGTTTCAATTTTATCAAGAAAAGGCTTTCCTGCAGCTTTCTGAGCCAATCTTAAGTCTCAGGCTGCTCGGCTTTCGTCCACAACTACTGTGGCGCTTCTGACACCCTCCTTTGCGCCCATTAAGGCGATGTCATCAGCTCTGAGAACTACTAATAGGGATTATTTTGTTTGGGAATAGAGCGATAAAATGTTACTAAAATCTACGGTAGACTGACGTCAGAAAGAGAGGAAAGACAAATTTCTTTTTGGTAAAAAAACGGGTAGAAGTGAAATATCAGTACTTTCTCATTATAATCTCATGACGGACAAAGGTGAAGTTTGAACGTCGGTTCAGAAAACTACAGTCAATGCCAAAGCGGTCATCATTAAGCAAGTCCTCATCACCAGATTGAGTTTCTGACCGCTTTAAAAAAAGAATCGGTGGAGAGATTTGAGTGAACCGTCAAAATGGTGTGTGTTGTGTGTCTAATGCTGAGAATGCGACGATTAGGCGTCTGAAGATAAGCTGGATCTTCAAAATAGGCGAAGGGAAGGACTATGTTGAGAGGATGCATTCAAAAAGAGAAATTGAAATTGTTGTTTCAAGGTCACAGAATCAAAACAGTGTGGGGTCAAAACTGGCGACAGATATCTCAGTTTAACTGATTTCTTTCTGATTATATACTTATTTGTTTAGGGAACGTCATCAGTTGAAAAGGGTGCAGTAGCGAAATGAAATGCGTTATTGAGAGGAACTTGTTTGAAGAGCGATACCGCATAATGTGCATTAGTAAAAATCGTTTTATTCCAAGATGCACTCCGGAGTTCTTTCAACAGTGCCTTATTTAGTAAGGCAAGCGGAAAAATCTGAAACAAACGTCAGGAGTCTCTCTACAGAAAAAAAGTTATAATGCCTGCACAGCGTTTCTGAGGTCTGAGAGAGACGGAGATTTTGGGTAAGAAAGGAGAGGGACAAACTGGGACAAACTGTTGGTTCTTTATGAGAGGCATGTAATGACAGAAAAATAAATTAGTAAGCTCTATTTTCCGTCAACTTTGTACACGGCCATATTCTTGCCACAAATTCTACGCGGTTCTGTAAATAGTTCTGAATGGAAGTGTTTTTTTTATAATTTTTAAAAGTAGAAAAAGGTTGCAATGAAACTAAGCTGGCACAAAGAGATCTCACCATTATCCCAAACATTATGAAAAAGCATAAATGTATGTAAAAAAAGTTTTCAACATAGGAGCTCTTTCAACACTGCTTTATTCAGTAAGGGAAGCAGAAAAATCTGGAACGACTGTAAATTAGATAAAAGTCTCTTTACGAAAAAAAGTTTTAATGCGTGCAGTGTTTCTAAAATCTAAGAGCGACAGAGAGTTACTTATTCAGGGAAATAAGGATTGTTATCACTTTCAACTATTTTCGTGAGTTAGCGCCGTTATCTCAGATTCCATTGATTTCACATTTTATACTAAAACTGAAACAGGTTTTCCGGCTTGTAATGACCATTCAAAAATCTATAATGTAATAAATATGATGCACAAAAGCAATTTTCCAAACCACATTGTTAATTACTATAAATTGGTGCTCTTTAGCCGGACAACGGGGCCTTTGGTAGGGCTCTTGTTAATGGGTATTTTAAGAAGATACGGTTTCTGGGCTTTCGATTGATTATTAATTTTTTTAAAGTTACGCTACTTGCTGTTTCCGCTTTTTAGCTGCAGTACAATACAACTTACGTAAAGGGCGAATATCTTTGTCGAAAACTCAATGGTCATTTGGCAGTTCCTAATACAGCCGAAGAGTACAACTTTATGGAGCAAAGTGACGTTTTTGAAATTACTTTCACTGTTTATTCGGTCGGTGCAATAAAAAATGACTGGTTTTAGTGGCGGAATATTGTTCTATTCATAAATTATTTGCGTTTGTTTAAAGTTTTTAAAAAGATTTACATCTGTAAAAGTCTTAATTTAGAAAGCTAACAGTAAATAACTTAACTGAATTCTGAGCGAGGAAGGGTTTGAAAGCCATTATTTGAAAAAATGTTAGCAAGAATTTAGAGTTACCCAAAAATTCGCATTGGATTGGCGTTTTTAAGAAGAACTACCAGTGGCTTTGGAAAGATGGTACAAGTGTTCAAAATTTCCCAGCTCCAGCAGCTGCTTTTTCTAGTGGAATGTGTGCGAAGTTTGATCATTTCAGTCTGTTTAGAGCAAATTGTGCAGAAGAACTTCCCTTTATTTGCAAACGAGCAAGTTAGTTTTTTTATTTGACCTTCTGGTACTTTTGAAGGTATGATCGCTCCTCTGAAAACCTCGACTTCGAGCAATAAAAAGTTAGCTAATAACTTTGCCTAAAAAATGTTGTTCGCTTAAATTTTGGCTTGAGTTCGATCTTTTTCGCGAGGGATTTGTTGTCAAAGATATGCTGTCTAAAAAAGAAAAATTTCTTGGCTGGAAAACGATTGTAATCGGTTGGAAAAAGAGGAAAATATATGGGAAATCTGAATTAGGAAATACTTCGAAATTCACATTCTGCCTTTTGTGCATGTGCAAGAAACAAGATGTAACAGTATTTTCAGGATTTCCACAATCCAAGTGCAGTAAGAACTGGATAGAGTTCAAAAGCAATTGCTATTTGTTGGTAAAGATTTCTAGTTCAAAAAAGTTGTTATTGTATTCTGCGACAAATGTATCTGTTAAGCGTGTGTCTGCAGTTCAAGTCCTTAAAAAGGCTGCAAAACCAATTTGGTGCATTTCAAAAACTGAGGGCGCATCGCATATGGAGCTCAAATAAAACATACTTTTTATTTGAAACTTGCATTAGCCTTTTGAAAAACTTGATCTAAGCGTTAGCTGATCCAAATTAGTTGCAGCGGGTCAAAGAGTTATTCTCAGGTGTTTGGGTTAGGAGAGTTTCACTTTAAAGTAATAGTCATAATTTTTTCTTGAATTTAGATTCAGTAGAAAATCAGCGAGATAAAACACGATATACTTATTTTTTAAAAAAGCAAAGTTTTACAGCATCAAGGTCCTCTAGAAAATAGTAAAGCGGACGCCGTTTGCGGGACATATGCTGCTTTTTTGACAAGCGTCACCTCAGATGACGAAAGAGCTTTCTTCTTAGGTAAATTTACTATTACCAAAATCAAATACGTGGTGTTCATCAGCAACATATGTTTCTTCCTACTTTCCTGATCCGGCCGGTTCCGGCAACATTTGATTTTGTAAATAAAATGAATAACTGTGTAGAGAGATCAGTATCCAAAAAATTCTGGGTTGGGCTTTATTGGATCCCCCATAACGTTTGGGAATCAGTGGACGGAAATAGAGTAGTATATATTTCAAAGCAAAAGGATCTCATAGCAACAGAAGGCGGTTTCCGATGTCTGTTGCGTACTAACTTACAGAACGAGACGTTCAGGTTAGGAGACTGCGACAGCAAACACAGTGTACTATGCAAATACCCAGGTCAATTTTTCGATTTCTATTTGTCCACCAATAAGCGTATATCTCGTTCTTAAAAGTTTAACAGTTCGGAAGCGTTACTGTTTACTAATACGTAGATAATAGTGGTTTGAGATTAAAACATATCAATTTCAGTTCAAAAAAGTTTTTGCAGTTTACGAGGACAAATGCACAAAATCATGGATTCGGGTTGGCAAGTACTGTTACACAACTGTTAGTCTTTGGTCATAAGTCTTTGGAAGGACGAGTAGAATTTAGGATGAAAACGTTTGTCGATTAAATGAAAAGCCATTAAACTAAAAGAAGGAGTAAAAACTACAGCTAAAAAAACTTGTACTATACTTATTCAATGATTCTATGTGTACAGATGTTAGACGTCGCGACGTTTGAAGAGGCAGTGGAGATTTGCGCAGAAGAAGGAGCATTTTTGCCATCGATCCCTGGCAAGTATGAGGAAGATGTCATTTTTGGTACTTTCAAGCCTTTGTTTCTTTAAAGAAGCAAAATACTTGAAATTGGTGTTGCAACAGAGTAATGAATACTCAGAACGATGCTATCTCAATAAACAACGAGGGGAATTTAATAAAACGGCACTTTTTGGTTTTCTTTTATAGTCTGATTAGTAGATCTTCTCTAATTTTTAAAGCTACATAAATATAATTAATTTAAAAAGCGGACCAAACATGTTTCAGCGATGTCCCCGACCAGATATCTTTGGTTGGGACTTCTCTCTGATACTGCTGCTCAAATGATGTGGATGGATGGCTCTAACACATCTTATGCTCTTTCAAAACTTCAAAGCAGCAGATCATCGAAGGTAAGATTTGCTTAAAGTGTGGTGTGGGAAACAAGTAATGTCACAAAAGCTTTTAGTAGAGAGAGGCAACAGAAAACAAATACTAATTCAATTTTTGATAGGACACTTGAGTAGGAAGCGAACGTTATAAACAGTTTTTTTGTAAAGGTTACACTACGATACAAACAATTTTTGTCTCACGAATGCTGCACTTGCTACTAAATGATCACTGTCCAAAGCTGTTTTTATAGCCTTATGACCAAAAATAAGTTCGTTATTAAACTTTGTATATTCTGTTAAATACATGGCACACTACATTGTCGTTATCATTTTTAAAGTTCTTTCAGTTAAATACATTCTATGACAAAGTATTCAAAATTTGCGTAGATCTATCGTGGTAGCCACATAATACTGTGCGCACTCATATAAAATATGTGCACTAATGCGCTAACTTTCTAAAATAATAGAAGTTACATTTCGACAACAATTCTGTACTGTAATTTTTTTGAAATAAAATAAATTGATTTTCTGCGGTATTTTGGAGAAAAGTGATGACTGTCTAATTTTCGCAAAAGAAATTATCGTGGCAAAACGCTAAATTTGATCAGTGCTGTAGCCGCAAAAACAGATTTGAAACTTATCATTGTTTTTATTGGTAAATTGTTTAACAAAGGCAGCGATATGCTCGTGTAGTACTTTAAACGAAAGTGATTTATTTTTTAACTTGAATCGATCACAGATGAATGCTTCACTAATTTTACTATGTTTATATTGAGTACAAAGACCTGAACCTTACAATCATTTAGGCCGAGTTAAACTTTTTTTGCTAAGAATTTTGGTTAAAACAATCGGAGAGTTTTATTCTGCATATTTACCAAAATGAGATTTGAGCCTGTTTTATGTTGATTTTCTATTGACTATAAAACTTTATTGTTACACGTCAAAAAATTTATAGAAAAATTAAATATATTTCAAATTCAACAATTTTTTAAATTTTTGCTTTTTATAAATAGTACAGGTACGCTCCGAGTTCAGTAAAATTGTCGGTGATCGCAACAAAAAAAACTGGATAGATGTGGAGGGAACAGCGCACAAAGTTTCGGTCATATGCCAGTACGACAGTACGTTAATCAGCGAGCCATTTATTTAAACAACGTGTATTTCTTTCAAGTTTTAGAAAATTATTGAAGTCGAAGGTTTTTGATGATATGTTGTAACCGTTAGTTGTTTTGCTGGAAAAGTAGGCTTGTTTAGGAATTCAGGAGTTTCTTAGTTTTGCTAGCTGCAGCCATGTATGAGGTGTTTAAAAAAATAAATTTCTTGCTTGTGAGTCTTTCAAGACGTTTTTCTTTTACAACTGGTCTAATAAATTTGAGATTGCTCACCTGTTATTGGTTATTCTAGCAGAAAGTCTTTAACTGGAGCATCTGGTTTACTGATATCCAAAAAAATGCAACTGTAACTTTCGTTATATCTTTTTTAAAAAATGTTAGCTATATAACTTTGTTGACATTTTTTTCAAGAAAATCCTAAGCAGAATATTGCAAAAAATATTGATATTAAAAATTTGCTATAAAAATAATAAACTTGCAGCTTATTTATTATTATTTTTAGTTTTTTATCGGTACAAAAGACCATGCAGAAAAAATTTAATGATTACTGATGATTCGATCGGATGCTACAAGCAGGTAAACCTTTGAGAAGTGAGCAGGATTTGGTTAGCTTTGAGTTTTTAAGAGACATTAGAAATACAACATCACTGGTCACTAGCAGCTTTTTTAAGTGGTTTAAACTGGTTGTAAGCATGTAGTTCATTTTTCGTCATATTTGAATGCTACTGGATTTTCAGATTTCTCGACTTCAAGATAAACACAGCTACAGTAAGTTTTGTGGTTAAAAGTAGCGTTTATGAATAAGTATATTTCTTACTTCAAACTTTTGCTAGAAAAGGATATAAAGAAGTTTAATTTTCCTCTTTTTTTTTCACAAATACAGGTTCTAATATTATGAAAGCGAAAAATGCTGCTGTAACAAAGCGTTTAGTTTCCAAAACCATAAAAAAATTTTCTTTATAAGTGGACTGGTTCTTTCTTTGTGTAAATCTATAAATGCATAGATAATGTGGTTTTTGTACACATATTCTTACTTATTACTTTTTGTAGTCCTACACCATGAAGATGTTTATTTTCTAGCAGCCTTAATAAGTAAAGTTCTTATTGATCTTTAGCAATCTAGCAGTCTGGCAATGCTCTTTTTAATTTTCTTATTCGTTTCGAGTTGTTTAGAAAACACTTAAGACAGTAATTTTGGTAAGAGAAGTACTCTTCTAAATCCGACATCAACTATGAACATTTCTCAAAGCGCCTGCACACGTTTCAGGTATTGACATTAACAAGTGCCCGCAACATCCAAATTTAGAGCCATACTACATGCAGCCACCCAAGAGCATTTCTGTAGATGGAGGAAAACATTACTACTGTATTTATGATTTCCAGGTAGATAAGTGAGTAGTTTTACTTGTTTACTGTTTCAATTTTTTATACAAATATATTTTTCAATTTAAGATAACTTGAAGTACTCCACTTTTCAGGTTCACAAAACTCTTTTTAGCGGGCTGCCTGTAAGGAACGGTGAAGCGTCATTCATAGCTGTAGAAAAATTTTGCCTTGACAAAGTTCATGGTACTCAAATTCAGCCAAGAAATGAAGACGAATTTATATTTTTTCATGGTATCTTAAAATTTTTTTCAAGCCGTTTTCCGGAATATCTGGTAATAGTAATAAACTTTACAAGAAAAAAATCTTTCTTTTCTTCTTCTTTCTTTCAAAAAATCTTTCAAAAAATCTTTTAATAAACTTCTGCTACTACAAATGCTTTTGCCGTTTATCTCATCTAAAATGCGTTTTTATCGCTCTCAACCGCTGTTTATTGCTGGTGCTCGTGTTGATGATATATAAATGTGTAAGTGTAAATTTATCTATATGCGCAATATTTTTGTAGAATAGCATTGAAAATTTGTGCCGCGTGAGCATCGTCGTTTTTTATAGCGCGCCCTTAAAGAGACCCACTTGCTCACACTTCAGCCATTTTTTCATAAGCGCAAATTTTAAACTCATTGTATTCACTTTTCAAGATTTTAAAAACATTTACATATCTTTAATTGAGATACCTAGATTTATAGAAATGAAATTTTCTGCCACGTCGTACCAGCACTAAAATTGACTTTCATGTAAAAACGAGCGGGTTACGGAGGTAGCGGAATTTTAAAAGTTGTAGTGAAGAAATACGTAAATTTTTTACAAGAAGAACGAAAAATAAAAAGAAGAAAGAAAATCAAATGTTTAAACTAATAAACTTAGAAAATGCTCATTAAAGGAAGTTATGACCATCGCCACTGGCTTCACACAAAAAAATATAGATTTTAGTGCTCTTGACAATTAAACTCGACGATCTAGCATCAAAAAGTTAAGTGGTTTCCACAACTTCCCAAAAAACAATTTTGTGGTTGCCGAAAGCAGAAGCAGTTTTTAAGCCAAAAAATACTTTGATTCTGCTTTCCTGCGCAAGTACTTAAGGGGAAATACAGCGTACTCTTGAGCGTAACAGTGCAGGTTTGGCAAATATATTTTTGCTAGTCTACCTAAGTTTTTTCTTAAAGATTGCTTTAGGTATTTTGACAAATTACGTGTTAGTGATTCTTTAAGTTATTGTCAAATATTTTTAAGTGAGTGATTTTACAGAGCTTTTTGAAAAAAATGTTTCACTAATTGCGCTCTCGCAGAGGACTGATCATTTGTGGCGCTACGGCGAAACAGAGCTGAGAACCAACAATAACAGAAAATTTTTGGCTTTTTTTGATTCTCGAAAACCTAGTAAGTTTAATTTTAACGAAGAACGTAATTATAAAATATTTTGTCTATTTACTTTCGGTATAGAACTGAATTGATAAGAAGTAGAAATGCCTGTTGAAGTTTTAATCAAACTAAAAATTAGCGGTGAGTATATAATATCGTCATGCATCATTTCGATGAATTTCCCCAAAATTCTACTTTTCAAAGTTTTTATTGTAATTTATTGTAACTTTATCTGTCTGTTTTTAAAGAAGCAGTTCAGGCTTCTAGCAAAAAACTGCATTCATTAACTTTGGAAACTTGTCTTTTGTTTTGACACTTTAAAAATAAGCAGCACATCTCAATGCAATTTTAGCAAATTTATTGTGTCATAAAACATGGTTTTTTGTCGGTGGTAGCTGCTTTAAGTTGGTTAGTTAAACTTTGACAGCTGTCGTATCTATTTATTTTTTGTTTGTACGGTGTAGGGCAGATGCTTTGATTTTAGAAATTATTGAAAATCTTTGACCTCAAAACTGCATTAGAACGAACATCGTACAATCAAGTTCTTAATTGCAGCAGTAATGATCAAGCAAAGTTGTATTATTATCTTTCTGATAATTAATCAACATAATTAAACATGACAAAGAAGAGTATTTCTTAATAGTTTAACCTAATATGATAACTAAAGAAGAATGTTTCTGAAATTTTAGTTAACGAAGTCACATCTAACTTTTCAGAGAGTTATATGAAGAAGAAACAAACAAAAATTTTTTAATTGGGTTATTTTGCATTAAAAGAAATGTTGTAAAACACCTCTTCTGGAAGCCCTGTCTCTTTTGCAGTATTCTTACCATATGAATCGCACAAGGGCAAAACAAATATGTGAATCTATGCCAAATACTCATTTAGCGTATTCAGCGAATTTTATGAAGAATAAAAAAATTGGAAGTAAAATTTTTGATTACCTCTTTCTACCGAATAAATCGTTGAAAAAGCAATAGCATGACACATAAGTAGTAAAACTGCTATAAACATACCTTTAAAACTGAATATATCAGCTACAATTGAGCGACATTTTCTTTACTTAGAGTCACTGAGAAATACATGGTATTGGATGGGCTTCCAAAAGTATGAAGATGCTTGGTACGCGGACGCTGGGAATGAGCTGAATGTAAGTTTTCAAACGGTTCGGACGATTGACAAGAAAGGAGCTGTATGCGCAGTCTATAACCGCCTCCAGAACAGTGTTCTAGGTGTGGAATGTGAAGAGGAGCATCAGTTTTTTTGCGAATATACTAGTAAACTTTTTATTCTCAATGATATCGTTTCATCTCAAAGATTTACTTCTGTTTTATTTTTGGTCAGCTGATCCGGTGCATTGGCATTGAAAGTATGCACGTGTTGCATCTGTTATCATCAAAGAGGAATTACAGTTTCCCACGCGTTATAGGTATGGTTAAGTGGTCCAGAAAAAGGCTCAAACGATTTGTTTGCAAACAACCTTATATTCCTGAAAACGAAATGATTACATCTGAAAAGTTCAAGGAGCTTTTGGTTAGCGCGTTTATTTAGATCATTAGACTGCTTCAAAAATGCAGGTTTCAACAGAAGAGTTTACAATTGACGTTGTCATTTAAATCATACAATGCGCCGTTAAAAATACTTAGTCACGAGCGGTTTTTACAGGATAAAAGCAAAGAAATAAATCTACACTACAGTAAGTCAATCAACTTTCACATAATTTTGTTTGACTGGCAATTCTTGCTTTTATATTAAGATGTACATCTTCCTTTATAGAAGACTTATTAAAAACTTACTGCTATTACGTCATTGTAAAAATAATTTCAGAAAAGGATTTTTGTCCGTTTGGATGGTTTACTATCAGAAATCTCTGCTATAAATATGTAAGAATGCTAAAATTTTTTACAGCAATTTTAAAACGTACAGAAGTTCTAAAACACTGTCGTGCATTTATTTAGTAAAATAAAAATTATAACAATGTAAAACAATGACAACAAAATTATCTAATTCATTCGAAGTTTTTAAGTTTTTCGCAGAGCAATCAGTTGATGCCCCTTCAAAAAATTTAAACTCGACATTACCGACGGCGCTAGAACACCCTTTTCAGTTTTCGCATAGCGTTCCTTGGGACGAATCTGCCGATTTTTGTCAGGTAGAACACGGCACATTGGCTGTTTTCTCATCCTACAAAACTTATCTTCTTGTTCTCGGTAATAAAATCAATATTTCTTAGACTTACTTGGAACTATTACAAGTTTTTCGTTTTCTAAGTTTTACGCTCGTTGAAATTACTATAACTACTACTACTACTACTACTACTACTACTACTACTA